CTGAGAAGGAGTGGAGAGAATCCACTCTGAACCTCCCTATCTTATTACAGCTGAGTTTGTTAGAAAAATGATAAGGATCAGGTGGCTTAGGGCAGTAGGGGAAAAAAGACATTATCTTTTAAGGAAAGGCAGCACAGTGCCAGTAATGGAGCTGAAAGAGATATCAAAGTAGTCTTTATCGACCCTTCCTGTGGCAAAGAATGTCTCACAGTCTCTAGATTTGAGGTCCTAGAACAATACGAGAAACTTTAAATGATTTGTTGTCCAGTGGAAGGATTCAGAAACTATAGCAGAAGTAGATATGAAGTTCATGAAGTACAGACTCTGATTTTAAGATGTAGTTATAATACTTTATCTTGTTTTATATGAAGAGATTAACATCTGGATTAGAAAGAATTGAATATTACTTCTCAAAATGAATTCTCAAAGTGAAAGTAAAAACGCAAGGTTTACACTGTTTTGGTTTTTTTTTAGAAAGTGGGTAGAATACTGAATTATTGTTTCTTTGTGCTTTTTTCTTTCCAGATTTTCTATGTTAGGCATATCTGTCTTTTGTAATTAGAAGAAACAAATCTAGGATAATAAAAGAGTATCAGTGTTTAAACATTTTGGCTCCATACCAGAAAATAACAACTCTTTTCTTAAAGACTCTCCTCCCCACGTGTTTTTTAATAGTCACAATAAGAACTTTATTTCTGTTAATTTTTTTAATGGTATGTATTTTTGTAAGTAAGTTTTGAAATAATCTTCATCTCCTATGTGATAGAAAGTGTACTTGTGTACCCTGTTTTCTACCCTCCCCTGTACCAACCCCCCCCCCCAAGCATCCAAGCTATTAAATAATTTGGTTTCGGAGAACCAGTTAATACCCACGAACTTCTTAAGTCACTGATATACTTTTGAATAATTGACCTATTGGGTTTGTCCAGGAATTAATGAAGTTTTGTTTTCTCACATCTTCTTTTCTTCTGCCTAACCGTTAATTTTATGGGCTTTTATTGTTTATTGGCCTTCTAAAGGTAGACCAGTTGTCCATGTCAAGAGTAGGGTTAGAATTGGTTGGTCTTAGTTCATAAGTGGGTAAGTCCTTATTATTGTGTTTTCTTCTTGTTTAACCACATCCATCGTGCCAGGCACTGTTCTTGGGGCTGGACATAGATTTTAAAACATTTTCCTAATCTTTACAACAGCCCTACAAGTTTGGCCTTATCACTGTTTTACAGATGAGAAACATGTGACTTGGAGTAGCTCAGTGAGTTGCCCAAGTGCTGTCACACTGTTTGGTCCTATCTAGAATTTCTGCTCAAACCTCCCCAGCTCCAGAACACACACTCTATACCACATGATGCTGCCTGTGCCTTCGAATTTCTCTTTATCTGTAAGCTGAGTATATTCAGGAGTCTCAGTTGGTTTTCTGAATAATTACTTTAAACTTCTTTAGCTAGATTAATGCTAATCATTTGGTAGGAGACTCTCTGTTTCTCTAGAATCTTCTGATCATTAGGGGAGAGGGGTGTTTTAGAGAAGTCCTTGAAAGGTGGGTGTATTAACCCTGTGTCCTGAGCCCAGAGGATCCATCATTAGCAGCATCACCCTCCTTTGAGAATTTATTTAATCTCAGAGAAGAGAATTTTGTAAGTAGAGGGCATGGCAATAGTTGGGCCCCTCAAATAGCTACTAATTTCCAAATTGTACTAGGAAATACTAACATACTAGTTGGAGACTCTAGTCTCATTCTTATTCCCCACCCCTTTTAAGGATTGCAGGAGGAAATCTTATTACATTACCAACAGTCAAATCATGTAATGCCAAAGTTATATTCTGATACCTCATGGAATCTGATATAATCTCATTCATATAGGGAATTGCAGACATTGCGGCATGATTGAGAACCTGGTTAAATCTCACCATGCAGTTCAGAATTGAACTTGTCTAAAACAAGGAGATGTGAGTTGGTTTGAGACTTCATTTGAGTGGAACTGAACTTCTTTATGTCAATCTCTGCACTTCTACTATGGGTTAATAAGGATGATTCAGCTTCAATAAACTCACATAATTGGCTCTGTTGGGAATGCTTGCACTATGGATAGCTGGAAATCTAAATGGCCTGGAACTATCATTCTCCTATATTTTATAGACATGCTAGGTGATAAAATAAAATCAGAGCAGGTGTAGTCCTAGGCTCTAGACACCACCAGAGCTAAACATGGCAGGCCCTGTGCAGAGTGCTTCACTAATCTTACCTGCTGTAATCTTTACAAGGATGCAGATAGCAAGGTTTCATCACTTTATAGCTGGGGAAACTAAGGCTCAGAAAGATTATAATGCAGCTCCTGTCATATTACTAGTAGGCGGCAAAACTGGATTCTGGGTCAGATCTGCTGATAGCCCAAATTCCTTATCAGAACACCTTTGACTCGTACGGAGGAGAAGGGGAGAAGGGGACTGATCTCAAGCTGGTTTCGGACCTGCTGGTCGGTGAATGGGGAGAGGGGTCATGCATGTACCGTGGGGCACGGTGGTAACCGCTGTCCCACATGCCATCTTCAGTACCTACCATACAGCTTCAGTTTAATTTCACTCTGGGTTTGTTTAGGGATGAATATTCTTCATGCTACAACTGGTTGTGGCCCATCGACCCCTCAATTCAGATAGGCTCTCTGGGCCCACAACTAAGTCTTGGAGGGCCCGGGTCAAGGGTACAAAAGGACAGCCACATGTAACAGGCTAACAAACTGTGAAATGTGTTCTGTTCTCCTCCGCTGACACATAGAGCCTCCTGATGGCCTGGAGGGGTTTACTTTTGAACTCTTCAGGCGTCCTGCAGAAAAGATGCGGCCCTCAGAGAGGTGCCCAGGTCTGCAGGTTTCCCTGCTTCTCTTCCCACCGCCGGCTCCACCCTGCCTTGCGGGGAGTCTTGTGTATACTCCAGCGTGTCTGTTCAAGCTCCGTTCTTGGCCCTGTGAACAGCCAGGTCAAGAATTGCTCATACTGGTGGTGCAGCCCACTCTCAGGAGGGTGGACCCAGGAAAGGGGCCAGTACAGACCTTGGAAGTGGATGTGGGGCTTTGGGGGCAGGGAATTCTAGGGTCCTGGGTACTAGAAGCCTGTCAGTGTGGTCTGGGCTCTGCGGGTCCACGAATCCTTGGCTGTGTAGACTGCACACCCCGTAGGGAGGGGTGCTGCAGGAGACGGGCCAGAATTGGCCGTGTAAAGCCGAGGCCCCCCCGCCCTTGTCAGGGTCCAGAGGCAAGACTAGGGTTCTTGGCACTGGAGCCTGATTGGAGAAGTCCTGTAGGCTGATGTGAGTGCCAGTGTTGGAAAACTGACCCAGTTTCCACTCCTTAAATCGGCAGCCCTTAACCCTTTCTGCAAGCTCCTCACCTTCCATATGGACAGCATGCTGCCCGCCAATAACTGTCATAACGTACAGTGGTTCTCATGAGGGGTCATCTCAACAAAGGCAGCCGAGGCAGGGAGAGGAGGTGTTTGTGGCTGCTAAAAAGGCTCCCGGCAGGTCCTGCTAAGCCAGCCTAGGGGATGCTACCCCATCCCCTCGGAGAGGTCTTCAGAGCCTTCAGCCACCTGCGGAGAAGTGCTGGGAAAATCACCTCTGCTATAGCATCTCTTTAAATTTTAAATCCAGGAATTATGCTCTGAGGACCTCTTCAAAAGAAATTACTTTCTGGCTAGATTTCATGCTACCACTTTAATTTTGTCACAGTGGTGTGTGCTGGCCCAAGGGCTTGTCAGCCATGGAGGTGTCAGTCGGGTGCAGCCACAGCCGCCGCCGCCACAGCCACAGAAACAGCCCAGCATGCCAGAAGCCCCAAGGCTCAAGTTCAACCGGGAAACAGGTATGAGTCTCATTTCAGTACTAATGCGGATTTCTCTTTCTTGATGCAAATCCCAGTGGATACAAGCTACCTAGGAGGAAAGGTGCTGGGAAAACCCAGTATGTAAGGAGTGGTATGTTATTTTCTTGGCTTTCCTTCAGTGACTGGTAAACTACAGATTTCACCTCCCATTAAGGCTTTATCTTTTTTTTTTTTAATTTTGACAGATTTAAAAATGTTTTATTTAACAATTTTCCCCCAGTTTTATTGAGATCTGATTGGCAAATTAAAACCCCACAGGGCTTTTGTTAAAGGACACAGAGTTGAGTACAAACAGTCTGCAAATCATGTAGGGATTTAGTTCTGGAATATGTCATGTAACACAAATTATATGTATGCCAGAAATGTGTTTATGAAACTTAACGTAATTATACTTATGAAATGTATGCCCTGTATAGGAAAAAGAATAACTAACCTACCAAGAATTTCTGTAGTAAACTGTTAATCCAGTGAAGATAATTGTAAATGACATCATATGATTTATAGTTTATTAAAGAAACAAAGTACATTTCCAGCTTCACCCCTGCTATTTGTGGTGGCCGTCAGCAGGCGTGGCCTTGCTGCTGCATGTCCTCTGCAGTAAGAGAAGCCACAGCTGTTCTCAAGTTTTCTTCTGGTACAGAGGCTACAGAAGACTACAAAGGACACTGATTTAGATGAGTACATGGGTAGGAGTAGCGCACTGCAACACTAAGCAGAGGGAAAGGATGCAAGTAGCTGTGAACAATTAACACCTTGACCTTGCTGGTAGACCAGATGTTCTGGAGGAGTTACACAGCTATGAAAATAAAATAGTCTTATTCTGTGTTCGTTGCTTTTCATTATGTGATCCTGGGTATATATTTGAGCACTTAGTAAACTGAGGCTTGTTGAGGCTAGGACACGAGGTTGGGGTTTCAAATCATCTCCTTTCAGCTCTCAAGCCTCCTAAAAGATCACACGTGGGGAGGAAGACAGGCCTGGGGGCATGTCCAGCAAGACACCATTCCTCCATCCCCCCCACTGCCCCTCTTTTCTCACCTCAGCCAGAGCACAAAGTGCTTTAAATATTTAGGGTTTGGGGTAAGTATTTGATATAACCTGAAGAACTGACTGGATGTGGAACCCTGGAAAGAAAAAAATTACTTCAATACTATGTTATCTTAGTGGCAAAAGTCATTCACATAAATAGCCTTAATATTAAGTTATTAAAATTGAATAAAAATCTAAAAAAATCCCCAAATTCTAGTCAGTAACTTTATATCATATTTATACAAAAGAAATAGATTCCATTTAGAAAATACTGACAGGGGAAAAAAAAATCACTGATAATCTCACCACCCACTATTTTCTCTCTCTGTCTGGATCTGTTAGTATTTACTCGGTATGTGTTTACTCAAAATGTGACAATACTGCATGTATTATTTTTATAACTTTTTATTTAATAATGTGTCTACCACATAAATATGAACAGTCTACATTATTTTAATAGCCTGAGTATTTTATTAAATCATAATTTATTTATTCAGTCTCATGTTATGTGGCGTGTAGGTTATTTCCAGTTTTTAAATATTAGGGACCATGAAGTGGTGTCTTTCTGAGTCATTCTGTTGCCAGACATCATGAAGGCGTGTTCCTGCATAGCGTTCAGGCTGGACTAGACGAGAAACATTACACTACAGATTTATCTGCAAAGGGCTAGATGGTACATTTTTCAGGCTTCATGGGCCATTTGGTGTCTTTTGCTGTTACTCATCTCTCCTGTCGTAATGTGAGAGCAGCCAAAGATAATATGTAAACAAATGAGTGGAACTGCCTTCCATTAAAACTTTATTTACAAAAACAGGCGGTGTGTGTACAAATCTGGTCCATGAGCTGGAGTTTCCCAGAGGCATCTTCAATCCTCCTACCAGTTACATCCTGGAGGTTTAAATGAAGAGCTGGAATTTCTTTTTTATCTTGATGCTGATAGTCTATAGTAGAATAGAATTATTCTGTTCCTTTGTTAATTGATGAGCTTAAGTTTCAGTTATGTCCAACTAATAGTTCAAAGGAAAAATCTCATACTTTGAGAGTCCAAGAATATAAATGGCAAAATGTTACAACCTTTTCAAATGAGAAGTTTTCAATATGGTTGCTGTGATACACTTTTACATTCAAACAAAGGGAGCTTGACCATTCAGACCTTGGTCTCAGATGTGCTCTGTCTGGAGGGGAGAAGAGACAGCGACCCTTGACTAAAGCTTTGCACTTCACATTTGGGAATAGAGGGGTATCTGACAAGGGCTTACTAATGCGCTGTTTGTCATGCACAACACAGTCTTGTATTAAATGCACGTGTATTTAGGTATTTTCAAATCATGTGAGTCTTTCATGTATAAGATCAACATGGTTTGCAAAACATAGGTTTGCAGGGCAGAGTAGCGTCCCATTTAAAGCCACTCTTGTTCTGAGCTCAGGTGTTATAGATGGAAAACAGTTCTAAATCCCGTTTGCACATTGATGCCCTCTGTGGCTTAGGTAAGTCTCTTAGCGTGGGGTTTCCTAACCAGCAATCTGTTAACTGGCAGCAATCCATGGAAAAATGTACTTAATTTATTGTGAGTCACAGCTTTTGAGGGCAAAAGACAGAATCCCAGGAGAACACCAGTGGTCTAAGTGGAAAGACTAAGGGACTATTACAGTTTCACAATATAATGAATCAGGAATTTTCAGGCATCAGAAAAAGAAAACTAAACACCAGTTTGTTAACTCATTGATAGAACTTCTGGTCAAAGGAGGTGGAAAAGATATGGAACAATAACTTCAAAGTAGTTGCTTCGTTTAATAAAAAGGAGATTAAACCCCTTTCCTCAAACACAGTGCCTCTAAACCGAGGGTGGGGAGGCATTTTTGTTCCCTGGGACATATTTGGCAATGTCTGGAGACATTTTTGGTTGTCGTAGCTGGAGTAGGGTGTGTGCTATTGCCATGTAGTGAGTAGAGGCCAGGGTGACCCCCAAACCTCCTGCACAAAGGATTGTCCAGCCCCAGATGTCAGCAGTGCTGAGGTCGGGAAGTCCAAGGCTGAGACGGTGATGTGAAAAGTGACTTGGTTAATCTTTAATGGGGTCTAAACCAGAAAGTCCTGACTCCCTTGTAATGCAGCACTTCTCTTTCCCCGGAAATTGGTTCTTATTTTGGAAAGTTAGGCTGAGAAGTCAGATTTCTACCTCATCTGCCCACAGTGTGTCTGATCAAGAAAACGGCTTCCACTTACACACTCTGCTGCCCAACATCATTACCAAATATCATTAGTGCTTGTTGAAAATTGCAATTCAGATTTCATCAGGCTATCATGAGCTTTAGAACACTTTTAAGAAGAGTCTTCCAAACTAGAGCCATCTCAGCAGGATTGCTTTGATCACTGCATTAGCTAGAGGTGGTCTTGATGTGGGAGATCTGGAAAGTCAATCTAGAAAGAAAACCCCCAGGGGAGGAGGATATAGCTCAGTGGTGGAGTGTGTGCTTAGCGTGCACAAGGTCCTGGGTTTGATCCCCAGTTCCTCCATCAAAGAATAAATAGGAAGTAGACCCTGAGGCATTTATGATAATGGTGTTTTAAATGAACCTCAGGCTGTTTCTCAGTTGCTTTATCAACAGTGAATGGAGAGTGTATCCATCTGATGGAATATTATTTAGCCATTGAAAGGAAGGAAGTACTGATTCATGCTACAACATGGATGAACCTTGCAAACCTTATGCTAACTGAAAGAAACCAGAGACGGAAGGCCACATATCATGTATGAATAGGCAAATCACAGGCCCAGAAAGTAGACTAGAGGTTGCCAGGGGTAAGGGGGAGGGAGAACGGGGAATGGCTCTAATGGATACGAGGGCTTTTTTGGGGTGATGAACATGTTTAGGAATTAGACAGTGGTAATGGTTTCCTGACCTTGTGCGTATGAAAAACCACTGATCCGTACAGTTTAAAATGGCAAATTTTATGATGTGTAACTTACATCTAAATGTTTACAAGTGTTTAAAAAAAAAGAATGAATGGAAGACACTCCTTGTCCATTGCTTTCCCCACCTCTTTCTCTGCTCCCCCGTGACCACCCACTTGGGAATCTGCAGGCCCCCAGTTCCCCAGGGTCCCATTTCAGGCTTTGACCTAGTGGTTCCAACTTGGCCCCAACAGAGAACTTGTCCTGGCTTGGCTCACTTCCCGCCACCGCGCAGGCTCCAGGGATTTTGGAAGGTTATGTTTTTGCGTAATCCTTTTCTTCTGAAGTTTCCCAGAACCTGCTTGACTTTCTTTTTCTTCTTGCTCATTCAACCTGTGATTCTTTAGCCTGGGTCTAATTTGAATAATGTAGGGCAATTTCTTGCAGGAATTAGCCAAGCGATGGGTCTAGGTAAGTGATGGGAAGGTGAATGCAGAGGGGGAAATGTAGTTTATCTCAGCAGGAGACACTGAAAACGAATAAAGGCCTGCTCGGGAGGAGGAAGCAGAGGAGCAAGAAGTCATTTACGTCAGTAATAATTGAATCATTAACTAAAGGGAAGGGAGAAGAATAAGAGGGTGAGCAATGGGCTGGTATTTTACTGTGGGGGTTTAAAATGATAGGGAAACCCAAGGCTTCTCTGTGTAGAATAGAATTTACTCATTTAGCATAAGCTGGCACCTAGGGTACGTACATTGTCCGCTTAATTCTCGTAATAAGCTTTTTGGGGTAGTTGTTGGACTCTCTGCTCTACAGACGAGAAAACTCAAGTTTGGCGTGATCGGGCAACCTGTGCCGTCATGAGGCAGTCACGTGAACAGGTACTTTAGTTCCAGTTTTAGGTTTATACCTTGACTCTCAGTCCCTAAAGAATGAGATCTTGTTCAGGGCTGAGAGTTTCATAGAGAAACATTTGCACCCAGTGAAGTCCAGTGCCTGGGATGGAGTTAGAAGGTGAAGATCAGAGCCTGAGCTGGCACCTGGGATGGAGGTGCAGAGATGGAGGCCCGTGTGTACCCAGGTAGGTAGCCATGTGATGGCAGTGAAAAGATCTATAGGTTTTTACTTTTGTGTCACACAGATGAGATGAGAGTTTGCTAGGCAAACCAAAATTCTACCCAAGAGGAAAATGAAGAGTGTTACAAATCAACCGTTGCACTTCATTTTGTGTAGGAAGCCGAAAACTGGAATATTAATGCTGAACATGGGAGGCCCTGAGACAGTCGGGGAGGTTCACGACTTTCTCCTGAGGCTCTTTCTGGACCGAGACCTCATGACGCTTCCGATTCAAAAGTAAGATTCAGATCAATACCTGTACTTTTCCAGAACCTGTGCAGTGCATTTTGCCTTCCATGTATGTCAGTTCTGTAGTTTAAAAACAGAAACCAAAAAAACCAGTTTTCGTTCATATCTGGTGGTGCTAGAGCAACCTTATGATTTTATTCTAGATATGAGAAGGATGTGAGAGCAGCAGGTGTGCAGGGGAGAGAGAAAGCAAGTCAGTGAGGCTTCCCCTCCGGCCCTTTCCCCCCAGTTGTCAAGAAATTCAGTGGTCTGGACGCAGCTGAAGTGCCTTTAAAGATCTTTAAAGATAATATTTGTACTTGGCACTTAACAGCTGATTAACACTCAGGGAAGAGATGGGTGCCATTCATCTGTGCTGTGAATATGGGTCCTTGTTACCCATCTCTTCTTTCACCCTTCCCTCCCTCCGTCTCTGCTTTTTCTTTAAAATAGGCTTTTGTAATGAAAAATGTATGCATGCGGATGATAAAAAATGTAAATAGTTTTAAAGTATTTACAGTAAAAAGCAAGTGCCCTTTCCCCTTGGACTCCAGACTCCCTCTCACCCACCCTGGAGGTAAGCACTGCTACATCCAGAAATGGTCCATGCACATCTGAGTGTACACACACACACATAACACACACACACACACGTTTATTTCCACCCTCCTCCTTTTTTTTACCCAAATGTGAATGTACTTATGTACATTATTTGGCACTTCATTTTTTTTTTAATTTAACAACATGTCTTGGAGATTATTCCATAACAGATTGTACAGATCTGGCTCATTCTTTTCTCATGACTCCATAGACTTGCATTGTGTGGTCCCTCACTTATTTAACCAGTGCCCCACTGATGGACTTTGGATTGTTTACAGTGTTCCAGTGAGCATTCTCATGCATACATCTTTGCTCACGTGGGCAAGTATATTTTAGGATGGATATGCATTTTCTTAAATTAAGAGGACAGTACATGTCCTAATGTCTTATATGTCCTAGTTCCTATCAGTGCAGGATCAAGAGGGGTGAAGATAATAGCTAGCACACATCCAGGATCCGCTCACGGGTGTTTGGTGTCCTGAGTCTTCATGGTTTCATGGGATGGAGGTGGCCACTCCACAGAGCCTATCTGGTTTTCTCTCTCTAAAGGCTTGATCTTTTTGGGCTCGTCTTAAAATTTCACTGTTTTTTTTTAATTGAGTAGAAAATGTTTCTGAGCTGGAATAATATTCATTTACTTCCATGTTCAATGGTTTAGTAAGCTGGCACCAATCATTGCCAAACGCCGAACCCCCAAAATTCAGGAGCAGTACCGCAGGATTGGAGGTGGGTCTCCCATCAAGATGTGGACTTCCAAGCAAGGAGAAGGCATGGTGAAGCTGCTGGATGAGCTTTCCCCGCACACAGGTATGGGCTTTCTCAGCGGACATCTCGCTAGGTTTTTGTTTCAGAGTAGTTATGAAATTCACAACACTGTTGGGTGCCCAGTGCAGTTCTGGGTCCCAGCAGCTCTCGATCTGTGTGGGAGGTTCCTGCATGATGCCCGGCCACTGAGCTCAGTTCTTACACCGTTATCCTTTGTCCCCATCTTACAGCCTTTTCTCTTGTTTCCTTATGTTACAAATAAAAAAGCTAAAGTTTTGGAACATTAGTCTCAAAAGGAAGTTGGAGGTGTGTGTTAAGTTGAGCTGGATTATAAGGAAGAGGCTATCTGCCATGAACAAAGGTACATATTATCATTGTCCTAGGAAGAAATCTGTTGCTATTGCTGTTTCTTTCTGTGTGGATGGCTGATTAGATCAGCATTTAGTGTAGAATTAGCTCTGTCACAGCAGCCACGAGGCTCTAAGCATCTCTCAGCACCTGCTTTCAGCTCCTGGCAGTACCATCAGGGTGAGGCATTTAAGTGTCTTGTTGGGCACGGCCCTAAAAAGAGGATTGAGCACGTCTGGTAACTGTTCTCTGAGAATGTCTAACACAAATTATAATCTGCCGAATGAAACACTAACTACATGCATGAGCTCTAAGTGCCATATTTAACTGCATTCAAGACACCATTGATTCACACCATTGTTTTCATACAACGTGAAGATACGAGACCTCTGCCGGTTAATTTTAAGACACTGTCTGTTGTAGGCCAGTGTAAGAACTGTTAAAACAAAAAGTGGGCATCTGACGACACATGAAATGTGTTAATTGCAGGTGCAGTTTAGGGTTCAGGATCAGGACGGGAGTGTGACACGGTGGGGACCCTTGGGGAGAGCAGCCGCACTGGGCAGGACCGAAAGCGTTTCATTGAGAGTCAGCTCAAGTTGCTTTCGGAATCCACTGTTTGCATCGCATGTGGGACAAAGGGCTAGAGCAGATCATTTCACTTGGAAAATTGTTCAGTTGCGCTTTTGAATAGTAGGTTTGCATCCTGCCTTCACTTGTGGCTGGAGGGCATTTCTTACATGGTTCAGCCATATGTGACACAGCGCATCTTCTGAAAATGTTGGGTGAGGGAAACTTGGCTGACCTCTCTATCAAGTAGAGACCAGACTCTAGTTGATCACGATAGAAGGCTTGGTGTGAACCAGATTGCAGTTGCTGTGCTGTGTTCAATGGAAGAAGGAGGCGGAAAGGTGCCATCTGTCCTGTGGACGTCTTAGTCTGGTACCCATCACCACAAAGGGCCTTAGTAGTCATCAGCCCTGATAAAGGAACGCAGATGCATCCTTCCCACCTCCTCCTCTCTCTGTGGTGAGGCTGCCAGGTTGTCAGACCAGACAGGCCAGCAATGGCCTCCGCCTCCCTGTTGGTCTGGAAAGAGTCCCATAGAATGACCTGGATTTACCCCAGTGTCCCGTCAAACATCTGATCATTTTAACATATGGCTGTTTAGTACAGAGGGAGCGAGTCATAAGAAGCTAGATTCTGGGGGCTAATTATCCTCTGCTTTGGTGGGGGCCAAGGAATAATAATATTCATTTCATACTTAGACTCAAAATTGTTGTAGAAATGATTTAAAAAACAGTTTTAAACATTCTATCTTGTAGAGACTTATATGAAAAAAAAAGTCTATTGTTCTTCATTAAGACTTTGGGGATAAGTTTAGGGTATCCATGAAGCACAAGTCAGCTCAATGGCTTGCCCATCTGGTCACTACAGCATTAGACAAGAAAGCGTCATTCCTACCTTCTCGCTCTGTTCACTCGCCCGATGGGTCACTCCCTCCCCAGTCTTTCATCCATTGATGCCCACATCCATCCATCCTTCTTCCATTCACCCCCCCACCAGGTATTTATAAGCCCTGACTGCAAGTCGGGTATACTGATGAGGGGCGAAGTAGTGAACGAGTCACACTCTAACCTTGGTGGAGCTTGGTTCCCGGCAGTTCTCACTGAAGCACTGGTGGGGGCTACTTTGGTTTCTCTGGATCTTGGAAGCGCATCCAGGGCCTGGTCCCAGGAGGGCTTTGGTGCTCACGATCCCAGGGCAGGCGTGTCACCAGCCTCTGTGGCCCATGCTGGGACCCTCTGAGGCAGGCGAGTTCAGTTCTCTTCCTTTCCTTTGTGTGGTAGGTGACCACCTAATCACTTAAAGCAGGCTTGATTGGGGGTATGATGGGGTGTTTAATGAGGCCCAAGACCACTCATCCATCAGTGGCCCATTGAGTGCCCTCCCTTGTTTGATGCTTTTGCTTAAACAAGAAGCTTCAGGTCTAGTGGGGCCTTGCTGCTGCAGGCCATGTACCCAAGGAGCAGGGAGAACTTTTGAAGACTTGTTAGAGAGAGACTCTACAAAATGAATATGGCAGCTGATGATCGCTCCGTGTGGATGTGGAAGACAGGAAATAGTCTCATGGTTTGGCAGCTTCTTTAGGGGAACTTTGTATTGAAGACTGAGAAGATTAGCAGGCGAGGTTCTGTGGCTTCCTCAGGGGCTCGCTCAGGTTACCTAGAAAGAATTTTTTTGTCCTGCTTCGCTGAGTGGACCTGAGGCTCCGCGATGCCCACCCGGGTGCCTCCTTCCCTCCCTCATCTCCTTCCTGCTGCTTTCTGATCTCCTTGCTTCTCTCTGTCTCTTTCTCAGTCCTCCTCTCTTCTTACACTTTTTTTCCCTACAAAATTATTAAGTTTACTTTGGAACTGCACCTATCTGTTTATTTATATCCGGAAAAGTTCTCTTTAGGCAAAGGAAAAAAAAGTGATTACAACCAGATAAAAATGTTTCATATTCTCCTTTTTAGGGGAAGTGGTTGTTATCTGGTGACCAGTATAGAAATTTTGAGACTTGCATAGAATTGACTGTTAACGAATACAGTACGCTGGGTGAGGGAATGTAACTTGGAGTGGGTTTCCTACTGCACTGCAGTCATTTAGGGAATTCAGAAGGAAATAGATGAGAAGGGTAATCATTGCATTTCATGAAAAGGCTAAATCTAAAATACATTTTAAAAAGTACAGTTTGGTTATCTGGACTGTGGCTGCCTTCAATGAAGCTCTATAGTAAGTGCCATTCAGTAAGATCAGTTCGTTCTTTATCGGATGCCAAATGGGGAGGAGCGTGTCTTCGCTGCAGTGGAGCTGGCTTCCCCACTCCTGGCTGTATGACTTCAGGCAGATAACTTAGCCCAGTAAGCCTCTTCAGGAGGATGGGGACGATAACAGAACCCAGCTCCTAGAATCGCCGTGCAAATAAAATCAGATAAGCCTGAAAGGCGGCAGCATGGTGCACGGTACAAATAACGTGAGCTTTTATTATTCATCGCTGGCATGGGGTTCATGAGCTGATACAGGGTAAGCAGCATTATGCTCTAATTTACTTCCTATCTTTCTCCCAAAGAATCATGCCCAAATCCGACATTTGGACTATTGGACATGCTGAATGAATGGACTGGAAATGAGTGAAGTTCTACTGTTTAAAAATCTGGTTTCCCCATTCCTTTTCTCCCCCTCTTTGTAGTTCTCACCAGAGTGTTTGTTCGCGGGGCTCTGAGGGTAGATGAGGCTGGACCAGCCAGTCGTGTGTTTGGAGCTGGCCAGATGTGGCGCCCGCCAGATGTGGTGCCCGCTGACATCCAGGAGACTCCTTCCTCCCCCTGTGCCCCTGCCGGGGGTAGCCAGCTGCAGGGCGAAAGCTTTCTGGGCTGGCCAGGGGCCTTCTCGAAAGCTTATTTCCTCAGAATAGTTCCCGCCAAAGACAGTGCAGCGTCACTTTTAAAAAAATATGTCTTTGCTGGCCAGCTTGAATTGGACAGTTGAGAAAGCATTATCTGTTCTTCCCAGAGTATTTTATTCTCCCTTCTGAAAGTGGTCACCGCCCTGCCTTTATCTGCGAGGGCAGCCTCTCCACCTCTCTTGTCTGTGATATTGGAGGAACTCCTGGACGTCAACAGACCAGGCTGCAACTCTCAGCTGCCGGGCAGCTGAAAAGAAAGTGCGAGAAGCTGGCTGACCTGCAGCATGTGGGGGATCTGACTCTGTCAATCTGATAATTTTATTGTCTCAAAATAGATTAGAAAGCGAATTCCACTTCGGCCTCAGCTCTGAGCACCAAGAGCTCTTTAAAAATGGACTTGATGATATTGTGATAGTTGGCAGTTTTAGCAAGAACCACATAATCTTTGAGCAATCAGTCACTTGAGTTCGCTTACAGGGCTGTGCCCTCTGGTGAGTTTAAACTGAAGTTTACCATATTTTATGCAAGAGAACAGAAAACTGATAGCCTAGAAGGGACAGACAGCTGAAATTATTTCATCTGTACCCCTTCCTTCCTCTTTTTGTCATCCCCAAGCAGGGAATATTGAAAGAGACTGCCCTTTCCGTGCACATGCGTGCTTCTCTCTCCCATCAGTATGCTGCTTCTGTGCTTGATAACGTGCTCCGCTGATTCAGCCCCCTGGGTCGTCATGGAGGAATGTTTTCTCAATCTATATACCTGTCTATAATATAGACGTATCTATATTCTCAATCTGTGTACATCTATATATACATATATACACACACAGACATATGTATACACATATACAGACACACACAATAAACGTATTATCTTTTTTCTCCACTTTAACCCAAGTGTTGCTGGTGGCAATTTGGTGTCACGTTCTTAGCTGCAGCCCCTGTTAATGCCTGGACCGTAACAGCATCTTGGGTTTACTGTTCCTTGATGTTTACGTTGTGTATTTTCAGCCTCATCCCTGTTATAAGTTAGGTGTCATCCTATGGAAAGACAAGGAAGCAAGACTTGCTAACTTTAAAAAAACGTTCCGTTTTATGATTTAATAAATGTCTAAGAAATTGTGTGGTTGAAGGTGGATTTAAAATACAGGAGGATAAAGAGGAGACAGGAGGGGGAATTGGCAAAGCGACGGGAGAAGGGACGCCTTGAAGACGTGCACTGATGTGGGCCATTTAGTTTCCAGAACAATGGTTTTAAATCCCATTAAGTGCCTTCAATTTCAGAATTTATTGTTAGATTTTTTTCCCATATCAGTGAGGGGAATCATTTCCGTCATTTGTTATCAATGAATTTTTATTGAGTACCCCAGGGTTTTTATATAAAGTAGGTGGCCTGGTCCCTGAGGGAACAGATGGAGGGGACTTGGGTGACGAGAGAGGCTGGGGTCACAGGCTTTGGGGTGGGAAGACCCACGTTATCATTTCGTCTTGACCATGTGCTTAGGTGTGACTTTGGGGCATGTTCATTAACCTTTGAGAGTCTGTTTCCTTATCTGAAAAATGTGGTTTATGTGAGGGGGGGAAAAAGCATCATGTCTTCCATGGTAGCTGGTATGTAAGGGGAGGTTATACTTTAAGAATAAATGCTAGTTCTTTCTCATCTTCTCTTGAGCCTCTCTTATCTCAGCCAAGAGCAGAGAAGAAGGCAGAGAAGCTTGAGTTTTAAAAATCATATGCTAAGTAAAGGTGTGTGTGTGTGTGTGTGTGTGAGAGGGGGGAGGTTGATCACAGAAAATAGTGATTAAAAATCCATGCACTAGTGGAGGACTGGATAAGATCCAAGGGATATTCTAAGCTTGCCTACATTATCAGCATCCTAGGAAATTAGGTTAACTGTTCTTTGTTCTGGGCACTGTATTCTGTTTGGGATCTATATAAAGATGAACACTTCTTCCTTTCCACACATGCTTCCCTAATAGCTCCTCACAAGTTCTATATTGGATTCCGGTACGTCCACCCTTTAACAGAAGAAGCAATTGAGCAGATGGAGAGAGACGGGCTTGAGAGGGCGATTGCTTTCACACAGTATCCGCAGTACAGCTGCTCTACCACAGGTAAGGCTTCTCTCTGACGGTGGGAGGGTGGATGTGGCCCTAGCAAAAATAACCAGGGAACCTGAGTGTGGAAGGGAAGGATAAGTCATTTTTGATTTGAATGGCAAATCCAGCCCATCTGCTTTAAACACAAGAGTCCAGGTCAATCCATTTGAAATTTCATGGTTCATCTGTCCCTTGAGTTATTGGCCAGGCAGCTAAGAGTTACAAATGGTGGGTGAAGGCAGTGGCTTCCAGTGCTCAGTGCTTCAATGCAGCTGTGTAATGGATCAGTCATGCACCTGAAGCCACTTTCTATGTTTGTATAATAAGCCTTATGTTTATGGCTACCCTAATATTCTTATTAATGTAGCAAAGGTGATAGCTGTTTCCATGTTGCAAACAGAGGTGTCCACGTGACATTGGAAATACTGGTATATGTTTTGGTTTTGCTTCGGTTAGGGGTTGGTTTCTGGTTAAACAGAGCCCAGTTTGTGGTTTCCTTTGCAAACTCCTCTCAGCGTTCTAGATTTTGGAAAATACTATTGTGTGTTATATACTATTATATGTTTAGCTGGAGCTGGAGAAGAGCCTGTTTGCCAGTCTCCGTCTCACTGGGCATAGGTAAATCTTCTGCTGTCACCCACAAATACATTTGTTTGCATTCTTTTTCAAGGATTGAGATTAGCCCGTTTTTACTCCCAAATTGCTTTTGGACATTAGTGCCTATTATTTCTAAAACTTGTAAGGAGAAAACAAAAGGCTACTGGGAGAAATCTTGTGTGTGTTCCTTAAATATTTGTTCAGAGCACCTGTGCAAATGCCCGAGTCCTCAGACACCCTCAAGAGTTCGAATTGTGATTTCTTTGGGGAATGTACCTCTACAACTTTAAAATGTCCAGTAGGAGAATAAATCGGGTTTTATACATTTCTAAGCTATGCTTTTGCCTGGCTTTTAAAAATATACCTCAACATGTAAATGTCTGCTCTTAAGATTAAACAAATTAAGAAGATGGTTATTTATATACAAAGGACTGACTAGGGTTTCATCGCATTGCTGGCTCTACCAAGTGTGTTTCAAACGTCAGTGTCTGTACAGTTTTCCTCTAGTACAGCTGGTACATCTTCACTTCAGAGACGTGACAGCCTTTGGGAAGCGTGTTCATTCTTTGAGGCCACTGGAGGGTCACTTGTCTGTTTATTTAGACACACATTGTGGCAGACCCAGTATATTCTATGTATCAACTACATTTTTTTTTATATCAAGCAATTTTTAAAGTGATATTTTCCCCTCGATTACTACTTTTGGTGGTTCATTGAATGTTTCTGAGTGATCCAGAGACCTACTGCGGCTTCCAGAAGACCTTTTGTACATCTGAAAGTGGCATTCACCTGGGAACCGTGATTTGCATTGTGAAGGTGGTGGTGGCTCCTTTGTGATTTCTGGAGAGACGGTTTTTGAACCTGGAATGAACTCAGTTTGGATTTATCGGACTCATTCTATTCAGCAAAATGGAACTCAGTTTATTTTTTTGAAAATTGAGTCTTAGCCTGAGAGCACCTTTGTTTTAAACATGGCTTTGTCCTGGCTAGCATTTTAATTTGGAGACCTAACAGATGAATAGTTCTCATAATCAGAGAAACCAGTGGCGCTGGGAGGCCCGGCAGTGTTCTGGAGCTTTTGCCCCGTGTGAAGGTTGAGGAAGGGGCCCATGTTAGGGTTAGTTTCATCCGATTAAGGCTTGGCCCCAATGCCAGCTCCTCTAGGTCAGGAGAAATTGGCATTGAGTTGACACCATCTGCCTTCCTTTAGTCTCTGAATTTTCATGATTTGCATCTCTTGCTTAGAAATACAGGTTTTGTTGGATTACATTTGTCTGGTATCCGTTTGACTTATTCTAAGGAATGATGATAATTCTAAAAAGCAGGCAAAAGTAGAGAATGCTCATAGAAATCTTAATAAGCTGTTTTTATCAACAAACCTTTTTTTAATAAAAAGGATGGTTATAAAGCTTTTATTGTAATATGAAAAATATTCATCTCATAATATTAAGTAGAAATGCCCTAAATACTCAGGGTACAAAATTGCATATATACGAAAATTACAACTTTGGAAAACGAAACAGCTATAAAGAAAAATAACTGGAAAGAACCATATTAGAATAAAACAATGAGTATATTAGCATGGCCAGGTTTTTTTTCCTTTCTTTCCCACCTCCTACATTTTCTGTAAATGGGAGTGATCACCTTCATTACAGGGAAAGAAAATTTAACATGCTTTTGATTGTAGCATTGTCCTTGCAAATGACGACTGCTTGTGTTTCATGCATCCGCCACCATCGTGCTTCTCACTAGAAATGGCCTCCGTGATCTTTGAAAGGCTGTTGAAATTGATTGCTTTTTAGTGATCTTCATTTGCAGGGTAGTTAAGTCCATATGCATTTTAGCATGTTGAAATGATTGTCATTAGACTGGCTCAGTATAGAAGCAGGTGCCTGCTTTGAACTTACACTGCTGCCTTGATTAGTCTGTTTTTTATGTTCACCATAGTACCCATGCATGTATTAAGTCACCCCTGTGTATTTCAGGCAGCAGCTTAAATGCCATTTACAGATATTATAATGAAGTGGGAAAGAAGCCCATGATGAAGTGGAGCACGATTGACAGGTGGCCCACACATCCGCTCCTCATTCAGGTAAGCCAGCCACTGCCAGCTGCTCCTGCCACTCCAGCATCTGGGTAGGTCAGGTTCTTGTACCTGTCTGTTTTTTGGGTGTCCTTCTGAGCTTCACTGTTCTCTTATGTAAACTATGTGCTGGGGATTAATAAAAGGTATTAGAGTCTTGATTAATTATGACAAGAGAAAATAATTTTAAAGATGAAAGGTTAAACTCTTTTCTTTCTTCAGATTAATAGTATTAGTTACAAACCCTAGTAGAATTATGTTTTGAGTTTTGTGTTTCACAGTGACCAAAAGGACGGAAAAGATTATGCAGGGCGTTTCATCTAATCGCCATTCGTAGATTGAATGACCAACAGATCAATCCTCTATTTTCTAAATCATTTAAAATAGCCAAAGATTTAAAAATTTTAATGCTAAGATCGCTACATATTCTGAGACATGAAATAAATTTAACATTTCAACTGAGAAAGTTTCATATATTAAAAGAAGTTACAAATTTCCCCTACACAGTTTATATTATTTATGGTAATGGATGCTGGAGTGTAGAAGAATCAGTTAAAACTACAATTCTAAAGCTTTGAATTGGTGTTACTATATACTTCTTTGCTCTTTGACTATGGGAATGCTATTGGTTGTTGCCCTAAGTAGTACAAATATTGCTTTGTTCTGTTGGTGGGAGTTTCTGCTTTTGAGTTGGTTTACGTAGGAGAAATACTAAGTGATTTAATTTAATCCAGTGGATGTTTAATTCCTTGTACATTTTCTGCCAAAATACGAGCTTAACACTATTTTTTTTTTTGCGGGGCGAGTCTGGAGTCACTTAAAATGTAACCACTAGATGGTGCTAGACATTGTTAAAAGCTGGCCAGCTTACCCCTGAACAGTGTTTTCCCTAAGCACGTAGGTGATGTCAAGGGTTAACATGTGTAGGTTGAAATCCAGTTTTAAGTAAAAAGTGAGACGTGAAAAGGAGACTCCTTCCCTCAGAGAGGGGTGTAGTTTGGGTTGTTCCCCTCTCTCTTGTTCCTTGCTGGGTCCAGTCAGTACCTCCTGAGGCCCGAGCCCGGCCTGCCTGTTTTGCTCTTGGAGGCCTGTGATTGGGGTGTTTCCGGTCAGCACTGACATGTGGCAGCAGAGAGCCGAGGGATCTGCACAGCATCTGCCTGCCCTGATCGAGTGCGTAATTAGATTTGCATTAAAATTCAGTCCTTTGAAAAGGAGGGAAGCAGAAAAGATGGAAGGAAGTCTCCGTTCATAAAATGAAAGGGAATTTTAGAGGCATTTATCTGCCCTCCTAGATGGCATGATTGAAGGCTCTGAGAGCCGCCTGCCTCTTTCATTCTGCAGAGAGACTGCATGGAGAAAATACCACAGATGGATTTTAGATGATTTAAGTAGCGCTCCCACTTGCCCGCAGCTCCTGAGTTTTGACGGTGGCTTAGAGTCGGCTGTAAGCCATAACAAATTGTGTTTCTACTTGCAGTCTTGCAAGATAAGAAAAAGGAAAAAACACAACTAAAAACTGGGGGGAAATAAAAATTTCTAGTTAGATTTTATTCTTAATATTATGTAGATTACATGAGAAGGAGATTTGATAACTGGCCAAAATAGAAGAAAAACCCAAACTAAAACCCTAAACTAAAACTAAAACTAAAAACCTTGTTTTTAATCTACATTTCTGCTTATTACAGGAAGTAATTACTCAAAATAGTCATTTTACTACTATTATCTAGCTGCTGGAATGTTTGGAGTAAATGTATGCTCCAGGCTTCTGCATAGACTTCACAGTGGGCCTCCTTCGCTAAGCTTTTGTCCAAAAATAATCTTTTCTGAGCATCCTTAGTTTCTAAACACTGCAAAGACCACCAGAAAGTATTGTTTTTGTTTGTATGTTATCCTATCACATTGACTCTATAGGTAAATTATAAATTTTGAAAAGGGAGCTAACTCTCTAGGCACCATTTTTTGCCTTGGAGCATCAATTACCAAATTTTGAGGGTCCTGGAAAGATGAATAATACCCCAATATTTATTAGGGAATAATTTGCTCATCCTATGATATTAACCACTGATATATCAAAACACCAACAAGTACAAATTTACATGGTTCTGGTAAATTGTCCTTTATAATATTTTAAAACCCTTTTTAATTTGGAAATAACTTCAAGCATGCAGAGAAGTTACAAGACTAAGAACAGTATGTTAGGAACTCTTGTCTACTGTTTATTCAGATTCACATATTAACATTTATCCCACTTTATATTTGATGCTGTGTGTGTGTATGCATATGTATATCTATGTATAGATAATTTTTTCTGAACCTTTTAAAAGATATATATATATATATACACACTCACAAATATATGTACCTAACCAGCAGGGATATTTTTTCTACAACAATGATACAGTATTCAACGTGAGCAAATTTAACATTGATACTTAAAACTATCAAACCTTACATTCATATCCCAGTTTTGTCAGTTGACCCACTAATGTCCTTTGTAGCATTTGCTTTGTAAGTTAAATGACAGAATGATTAAAGAGTGAGATGAAAGACAGCCTCTCAGATCTGGTATTTCAGCACCTATTGATGTGAATCGGAAAGTGCCAAGGAGACGAAGGGAATTAACTGGTCTGGCGGACAGAGGTGTGGAGGAGGTGGCGGGACCTGCGTTCTAGCCCAGGTCCCGCAGACGCGACTGAACAGGCCCCCAGGTGGACCGCATCTTTCGCCCTCTGTGAACTTAATGAGACTTGTACAACCTCTCATCTGTTGTTATGAAGGTCATTACGGAGATTGACTCATCGAGGAAAAGACTGTAAAAATAGAATCGCATTTTCTTATTCCTCTCCTATTTCTGTCTAATGTATTTTAATGTGATATGCCTGAAAGCCAAACTCAGGAAGATTTAGAAAGACCCTGTAAGCTGTTTTCCTGCTAACCGAGCAAATGAGAGGTCTTAAAACAACGTCTCCTTCCCATCTGTGTTCCCTTTCCATCTGGAAGTGTGCCCTGTGCCTCCCAGGGGGATACAGATCTAGAGCATTCATTTTCAGAGAGCCATTAGCGAGCTTTAGGACTTTCCCATCAAATTCCCTCGGCCCCTGAAACCGTTATGAACCATTTTGATGATGAACCAAAGCAAGAGACTGTATAGTTTGCAATTTTTAAAAAAGAGAGTCCCACTGTTTGGGGGCTTCTCTGAGATTTTTGGTGTAACTCTCATTGAAAAAAATATTTTCTTTTCCTTCCATGTCCTTCCCACTTCCTCCTTCCCCTCCTTTCTTGGTGTCCCCGCAGTGCTTTACAGACCACATTCTGAAAGAACTGGATCGTTTTCCACCTGAGAAGAGACGTGAGGTGGTCATTCTTTTTTCTGCCCACTCACTGCCAATGTCTGTAAGTAAGAACGTTTTATTGGATGACCTAGTGGTAAAGGCTTTCAAAGTGTGTAACGTGGACCCAGCTTCCCTCCGGTCTTCAGCCGAGTTCAAGGATGAAGTCGAAATTCTCAAACTGAACTCGGTGCTGATTTAACTAGACTCACTTCTTGAAAAATAATAATTCATTCAAATTTTAATATTGTGAATAGATGTTGTCTTAATAAATCCCTTTAAAATAGTAGCTTGAAGATCTATTCCAATATAAGAATTTTTAATAAGTGGGACAGTTAAAAGAAGACAGTTGAAAGCTTTTGCCTGGCCTGTTGAAGGGGTTCAGGGTGTTGAATTGTAGGGCCTCCCTATTCAGACTGAGCACTTTCAGTCCCATTCTTTTGTCCTCAAGACTTGACAGGGGCTGTTTGAATTCCAGGAAGCGATTAATTTTGAATTTGCCCAGAGTGGGGACCACATTTTGGCAAGTGAATATCGAGTGTATCAAATTATGATCCAGTTGCTCCTTATTTTCTCACGTTACACTGGGTGTTCATTAAAACACTGCTTCTGTGCTGTAGCTGTTGCATTTTTGGAAACAAGATTGGTGGAGCAGGTGTGCTGCGTGAGATACAGGAGTGCTTGGGAGAAGCAGCCAGTTTCATCAGCTCAGAACTAGCATTGTGTCCTAAAAAACATTGCTCTCAAAGCTGGAAAGGTGGAGGATCACATCCTCTTGGGTGCTAGTAAGATTTTTAGCTCCAGGGTTCCCGGCATTAACCTGAGTGTCTGATCATCTGGGCCGCTCTTCTGATTGACCTGTACTGCCACCTGGTGGTCACCAGGGTGGAGCCCTTTGCGGCATTTCCTCTCCTCCCTCTCCCCTAAGCCCATTCTGCAGTAGGTGGTCGCTCTGGAGATCCATTTCTGTCTTCTGGAAGCCTGCCTCTTGTATTTTAACAGGTGCATATTCTCTTTTTTGGTACCATGCAAACCCTTTTCACATGTCCATCCTCTTGCTCCACCCTCATCCTTTCCCTAACTGTCCCGTGTGTGATGAGGCCATGTCTGAAGTGCCTGCAGGCAAGCTCTTAAGCTGGGAAAGGAGGAAACACATTTTTATCTGTGAACAATCCCAGGTGCTGCCCCCTCTCCTCTCACCTCCCACCTCACTCACTTCCCTTTCTTCCCTTAAGGGACTGAGCATGCTGCTTCCAGGGGATTTTTTGCTACCCGAGGTCCTGGGTGGGACTGGGGAATCCCGTGAGGAGGAGAAGGAGAGTGTGGGGAAAGATCGCGGGGGCGTCGGTTTGCTCTGCCACAGCTCTTCTTTTCCACTGCATTTGCATCTCATGACTTCTCCTCCTTAATGACTCACCCCCACTAACGTTCACCCCTTTTGTTCAGCTGGCCCACACAGACTCAGTAGCTCTATCCATTGTCCATACACCACTCTTTCACTTCCATTTCTAAAATCAGCCACTCAGGTGACTGGTAAGAGTGAGGTCCCATCTCCCAGCTTTTCTGTGTCATTTTCCCTGTTTCCGATGGGGAAATGAAGAAACCCATCCTCCACTGTGGAACATTGTCAATCACCCGTGAATATCATAGAACAGAGTTTGACACATTCCTAGGGACCTTAGAGATGACTGAGTACAGTGTTCTCCCTTGGCCGATGGACTAAATCCAAGGAAGCTTGGTGACTGAGCAGAGGATGTGGTCCTTTGTGCAGAAGACAAGGGGCAGTCTCCGGTCCAGGGCTCACGCCATCTCACCGCACAGCCCATGGCTCTTGGAACCCTTCACAGTGTTGGCAACTAAACACCCGTGTGTCTCTGCTGCAGGTGGTCAACAGGGGGGACCCCTATCCTCAGGAGGTGGGCGCCACTGTCCAGAGAGTCATGGATAAGCTGGGTTACTCCAACCCCTACCGACTGGTTTGGCAGTCAAAGGTAGGTGGCTTCCACGCATCCGCATGCTGCCAGCTCTCTTGAGGATGTCCATTTCAGGACTTATTTATAAAATGATCCGATTTGGCCCTTTCACGTGGACAGGATGTTCTGTAACCTGATTGCTCACACGAGCAGAAAGAACTCTGCAAGCAAATAAGAGGCAGGGGAAACCAAGTGACTACTTCAACTCCACTGATTCCATTGAAATAATAGCTTACTTTTAGTTGCAATCACAGAAATTGTTAAGTGTATTTTGCCAACTTCTAGAAGGATTCGAGCTTAATACAGAAGTGCCAAAACCTGCTAGAGCAGGTGTCAAAGCATGACCCTCAGTCTTAGGAGGAGGTGCGTGTGTGTCCGAGGTGGTGGGCTGGGGTGTGTCATAGACACGGGAGACGTGGTGCCTGTGCGCCTTCATCCTGCTTTCTCATAGGTGGGTCCGATGCCCTGGCTGGGTCCGCAAACAGACGAGGCCATCAAAGGGCTTTGTAAGAAGGGGAGGAAGAATATCCTTTTGGTTCCGATAGCGTTCACCAGCGATCACATTGAAACGCTCTATGAGCTGGACATCGAGTACTCTCAAGGGCTAGCCAAAGAGGTAAGTGTGATTGTTAATCCCACTGTGATTTGCTTTAAAAGGAAACTCTCTCTGTGACGATCTAATTGTATTATTTAAAAATACCGTCCAGCATATGTTTGCAGGTACTATGGCCTCACTCTTCTGAATGATACTTAATCTGAGTCGTGATCTCAGCACATCAGCCTAATTTCCACGTGAGCCTTGGGAAAGTGCTTTTGTGCTTTTGAGAAACCAGGTGGCCCGGGGGCACCGTGGCAACGTCATTCGGTTTAGTTTGAGTTACTGTACTCCTTGGAAGTAATAAAAACTACATTTCCTTAAGAAAAAAATAATTGTACTTCTCACCAGTTCGGAGGAAAAGAGCTTTGTTGCTCTATAATTCCCCTTCGTCACCTGTTAGTGACGGGCTGTTACACGACTTTGGGTTGACTTGTGAGGCATGTGCGGGTCATCACCATTGGAGACTGCGGAGTGACACTCCGCGGTGTGTGAAACTGTGCGACTTCCCTGACCTCTTTTATGCACTCACTTAATTGGCTGTTTGCTCCCATGTTGTGATCAACCTGCTTATTGAAGTAACAAATACCATCCTTAGTGTCTTGTAATGTAAGATGGATGTGATTGTCCTCAGAGTGGAGAAAACTGCTGTTCACCCATCTCATGGCTCCCAAGGGCCAGTCTGAAACCTGAGTCCAATTCACAGTGTTGTTTCTCTGGGAACTGTGGAAGCCTTGGGACCCAAGAAGCCCTTGCCCACTCATCTTCTGCCAGAACCCTTTGCCCCCGTCATCCCACATGTGAATGATGGAGGCCTGGCCTCAAAGGATACTTCACCATCTCTGGGACTGGGTGGCAGGTGCAGGGCAGGGTGGAGGGTGGGCTGGGGAAAGTTTCAGCTGGCACTCAGTCCCACAGGTTTTTGTATATAGATGCTGGTCATCAATCCCATGTGGATGGAGGTAGAGGCTGTGTAAATTACTTGTCAGTAGTTCTGATGAGGAATTTATGGGCAAGTTGTAATTGGCTAAAGTGAGATCGTAGGGTTGTCTGTGGACTTCGTTTAGTGACGCCTTCTGCGTCCCAGCGTGCCCTTGGCTAATTGTGTCTCGCTGAAAAGACTGACTGTAAGCAAATACCATTCATACCAGTGTATTTGGAAACTAATTTTTGTTTGTATTGCATGAGAATTCACATTCTAAATTACTCAACTGAAGCCATTCCTTAGTAATCAAATGGATTATTAGTGACTAATACGTAGGTCATACAGAAGATAAAGAAAACCACCTAGCTGCAATTTATCTCCTTATTTCGATGGGAGAATATACTGCGTGTAGAACTACAGACTTTCTCTAACAAGTAGTTTGAAATTTTTGCTCAAAATAGAAATTATTGCTTTTTTTTGTTAAGTTAATTATTGCTTTTTAATAAGTTATTGCTTTTTGATAATAAAAATAAAGAACGCAGGCAGTTCAGAGAAGTATGACAGAGTAGAATTCACTCAGAATCTTACCCTGAGACATATGTTGATATTTTGATAAAAATAAGTTCCCTTTTCCCTCTGAATGTGTGTATCTTAATAAAAAATGGTATTCTTCTACACACTTAATAAAATGGTATTTTATTCATACTGTTTTGTAACTTTTTTTCTTAAAAATACATTATGGACCCAAATATATAAATTTGATCTGTATAATTATTTTTTAACAGATCCTTGATTAGCATACATTTAAGATGTTTCTCATTTTTTTACTTTCATAAACTGCTCTGTAATAAACGTCATTTTCTTTTTTGTTTTTCCGATTATTTTCTTAGAAAAAAATTCCTAGACATGGAATGTGAGTGTTGATACAGATTTTATTGGATTGTCCTACAGAAATATATCCTTTTTAACTCGCCCATCAGCAGTGTTCGAGAACACCAGCCAACACTGGCTGTTCTGCTGCCTTTGACTTCTACGTGAAGTTTTAGAATATAATCTTTTTTTAAGTTGAGAGCTATGTATCTGCTGCATCTCGCCATTTCCCCCTTTTCGGTCTTCTGATGCTAATGCTTACTTAAAAGATAAAGCAACTGAAAAGCCATCAGCCTGTCAGAAGGGGAGAGAGAACCTCACTGCCTGAGTAAATATTAATTAGATATTTCTCCGTTATTTGGGGGATAATTAGCTGGAACTCACTGGATATTTTTGGAGAGAGGAGCAGGGATGGTTGTGAAACAATCCTTAGGTTTTTTGTTTTAGATTTTTCTATGGAAGATTATGTTTAAACACCCAACTCTGCACTGGATCCAATCTAGGTTCAATATACATTAAATGAATTTACCTCTTTAGGCACTTGGAATCAAAACATATATAAAAATGTACATAAAGCAACATTCTGCTTAGGTTGAGTCTGCAAAAGCCTGCATTAGAAAGGTAGAATTAAAAAAAGAATGGTAAGCAGATTTAAATTACTTAAATATTCTATCAAATACAACCTCAAAAATGGCTTGAAAACACAGCACCCACAGGAAGGTAATGGGGGAAGGGACAGAAACTGAAGAGCAATTTTATGGTAAAGAGGTGAAAAAGCAACACATACGCCTGGTCCTGGGACTGCTTTCATTTCTGAGTATTCTGGGAACACATAGGTGGTAAGACGTTGAGTTTGTGTGTGTGTGTGTGTTTGCTTTTTTGTAACAGTTTCTTAAAAAAAAACCAAACAAAAAGAAAAATAAAACGTGTATGTTTTTCCTCCCTTTTCTCATGTGATTCAGTGTGGAGCTGAAAACATCAGAAGAGCAGAGTCTCTTAATGGAAACCCGCTGTTCTCTAAGGTACCCTCCGTGTTGCAGCCGTTTTAGTAGAACATATCGGAGGGCAGTCCTCTGAGAAACTCTTACAGAATATTGGTTTTCTCACTTATTAGAACATTTTGAGTTCCAATTAATTACAAAAATAAAATCGAATTCCTTATACGCTCGCTCTTTTTCCCTTTTGAGAGCCCCCATTTTCTCATTTCCACCCACCTACAGCCGTGTCCAATTCAAAACCTGCCTTTCAGAGACAACGTTCAGCAGGTGGGGTAAGAGGATTTCATTTTCTAAAACCTGTATTTTAAACTCTGCCCTAAGCTGAGCATTCCTAGGACAGGAAGACGTTACAGAATTTGGTTCCAAGGATTCATACTCCAGATGAAAAGAAGCCCCATGCCCTCGTGATGATCTGGGCAGGCGGGAGGGGGTGCGGGCGAGCAGCAGGCAGACCTCGCGCTTCTGACGGACCTTGCCCTCCTGTCGTCCGCCCCGCAGGCCCTGGCCGACCTGGTGCACTCGCACATGCAGTCCAAGGAGCTGTGCTCCACGCAGCTGACTCTGAGTTGTCCGCTCTGCGTGAACCCCGTCTGCAGGGAGACCAAATCCTTCTTCACCAACCAGCAGCTGTGAGCCGGGCCAGCGCACCGGTGGGATCAGGCGAACGCCCAGCCCCCTGCCGCCTCCGAGGGAGGTGGAGGAGGGTGTATTTAGCGATCAACGGAGGAAGTTACATTAGCTGAGTTACAGCCTTTGGCCACCGATTGTGTGATTTCTTGAGGAATGGACTCTGAAATCCTTATTGAGGGCTTTTTATTTATATAGACCAATACAGTAAGCATTTATATTCCCCCTCTCGAGCTGAAGTTACTAGTCTGGAATATCCACTTGAAATGAGTTTTAAAAATTTATCTTATGAGACGCACAGGTACTTTCAATACCGATTTTGGTTTTATTGCGCAAAAAATCCCCTGCAAGGGTACAGAGTCCCCTCTGTGGGCTGTCACTGTGAAGGAGATCTGTTCACAGTCTCATCCTTATTGTTTTGTGAAGTGAACTTAGTTGAGTAAGTAAAATATAATTTGCAAAAAGAAATGTTACCTCCTCCTTCCCTAGGCCAGTGGCAGAATGCCGGGCAGGTGATATGGTTGCCTACACTGGCTGCTTTTCCGGTGATGTCACTATTAATTGGTCATTTTGGTCCTGGTGTCTGGACCTCACCTTCCTCACCATTGAACCGAATCAGGTATAGATTCAAAAGTGCTTTGAGATTCCCCAGGCGCACAGGGCTGAAAAATGTGTAGGAATCCATGCGTTGGTGTGAATCAGTGGTGCCATGAGAAAGGGGTCTCCGGCTGCTTTTTGTCTCCAGGGATGGGGAAACACTGATGAAGGGTTTCGTGTTCAAGCTTCTCCCAGGACCTTGCCAGCCTTTCCTTTGAGCATCTTCTTCATCTTGCTTGAATGTCCCCTTTCTGCATATTTGTTTGAAGGATTATTTTAAAAAGTCAACTATGTTGTGTAACCTCAAATTCTTTCTTAATTTATAATTTTTATTACCAAAATTATATAACCAAGCTCTAGGAAATTTGGAAAATAGAGAAAAGGAAAATAGCTGTCTGCAACAACTGTTAATCATATTATTGTATTTCATGTCCGTCTTTTCCCCTGAACATTTTAGATGCCATTGTAACCTTGAACTTGTGAGTGAAAAGTTGTTCTAACAGTATTAGAATCGGATTTTCTACACCTGGATTTAAATGGACTAAAAAAATCTCTGTTGGATCCATGATGAATTTGTAATAATTATTTTCTCTTTCTTTTAATCCCTAAAACTTTGTTCTTCAAAAGAGCGTTTCTTTGATTTTTTTTTTTAAAGCCAGTTCATAAAGTGAAAGTATTAGAGGAGTCATAGATCTTCTATATTCAGGATTTACTATATTAATAAATATTATTACATCATTAAAGTTTTATCCATTAAAGTTTCATTGATTCATGCTCTCTGTTAAATCAAAAGTAATCCAAATTAGCTAATAATCAAAATTATTAAATAAGAGGAATTTATTTTGTAATACAAGAAATGAAACATGCCACCCAGTTTAGTTAATAGTTTTCCCACACTGATAACGGCTTTGAAACTTGAGTAGCATCTACATTTTTTTCAAAAAATTGGTTTCCTATTAGTAGATTGTGTTTCCAGAAAAAGGTACAAGGCATTGATCGTTGTTCAGAATTTTTCTCATCTGTTTCCATCTGCTTTGGGGGAACTGGATCCAAGGTCTATTTTGAGTGACTGTCCCTGGGGGAAGTGAACTCTGGGTTGGTGGCGTGGCGTCGGAAGGCAGGTCACACTGCAACCATTCTCTCTTCTTCAGGAAATTTGCTAAGGCCCTGCTTCACGCCGACTGCTTTCGAGATGGATGTGTGTTCTTTTGGAGATGTTGCAGAAAACTCCAGGAGCTCTTGCTAGGGTATCTGGAGGAACCTTTGGAAACAACAGTGACTAGGCTGTCTGGAATGACGTCCTTGATTGTGAGTTGGGACCAGCCCAGACTCCGTAGTGAGAGGCAAGGGAGGACTTATGGGGATCACTACCCGTGGTATTTCTTGTCTTAAGAAGCGTTACCTTTGACTGTTCTTAACCAAAGATGGGGATGGGTCCATACCTGAGGGTAGCATTTGGTAGGACGAAATCAACAATTGCTCTTTTTAGAGCTAATGGTCTTTGAGAAATGTTACCCTGCTCCTCAACTTTGAAATACAAATGTTTGCCCTGGTAATTAGCAGTGCACTGCTGGCCGTTTCTCTAAGCTGTGTTTCTGTACAGAACCTGGCTTTAAATGATGAATCAGCTTGCACAGCAGACTTGCAGGAGCTGTGATGGTGAGGTGGTCTGGCTTGCCAGGGTTATTATGAGGCTCAGATCACTAGATATTTAGCACAGAAGGAAGGAACTCTTCTACAGAATATGCATTCTGGAACTGCTAACCTTTTTAAAATTAAAAGAAAGTTTTGCACTCGAAGAAAATTTGCTCCATATCAGGAGAAACGAAACATCATTAAAAGCCCTTTAAACGTACGTCCGTGGCTTGTTGATGCTGAGAAGTAAAAACCCATGACTCTTCCTGCTAGTACCTCAGTACTGAGTACATCTTTGCTCAAATAATCTCACAAACAGAATGTCACGAACTCTAGGGTTCTGTCAAATTTTTCTTTATGGCTCAAATTATTTAAACGATGATTATGTAGGTATGACAAGAAAATGGATTTTTCTGCCCCAAGTTGCCCAAACTAAGCCTTTCAGAAGGTATGTTAACAATCTTAAATTTACATTAGGTCATTTACATGTTCAGCTGATTTTAAAAAAAAATAGACTTTTTCTCTCCTTCTCGATTTCTTTTTGGGGAGAATACATTGATTTGGTGGAACAGATCTCAGAATAAAGTTGCTGCATTTTTTCCCCTCAGCTAATCTGTTCTCATAAATTGGGCATTTAATTCAAGAAATCCTAATGTAATGTATGCAAGAGAAATCACTTGCTCAATCTGATGCTATTCTATTGAGCCAAAATATGTTATTACCACCACAAGGGTGAGTCCACACCACTGAGTAGAGGCAGGAGTAAGACCTGTTCCCCATCCCAGAGTGTAGGTAACCCTGTGGGTCTGCGTGTACTCCTCCATTCTGGGTTTAGGGGTGAATGGGGTAAGGAGCCAACTTGTGTAGCTATAGCTGGAGGGCAGAATTTAAAGCTGGTGGCTGTAAGAAAGAACAAACACCTGTGCACATGTGCACAAGTATGTGAGCCCGGACCCCTTGACCACATCTTGGTACTGCATCTCTAAGCTCTTAACCCAGCCTGCAAAACCCCTCCTGTCAGGATCCTGAAGATGGTCCAGGAACGTGCTTCTCAACATTGGGTAGAAATGTGAAATTCATTGAGACGTTCCAAGCTGGAAAAAGGGGATTCTAAGTGGACCCTAAGACTTGTGTTCTAAATTAAGATCATTCAGTTTCTCAGTCTTAATATGGGAATCCTTGGAGGAAGACAAAAGCTAAGCATTTCTTTCATTTTTTTCTAAAAATTGTAAAATTAAAAATACTTCAAAGTCATGCCCCAGACTTTGTAAATATTCTGAGGAGTTTTGTTCTGATTGCCTAACAATTGAGATTCCTTTGCAAGAATCCCCTTCAGTGACTTACCCCAGTCCATGAGGCTTCCTGCGACGCTCAAATTTCTTTTCATAGAAGCTGGCATCAAAAGGTTTCAGGGTACGTACATCAAATGGATTAAATCTCAATATCAGATGGCTCAAGAAACCTGAATTCTGCTTAAATCATTGCCATTGGAAATATTTAATCATGTCATAATTTTGTTGAAGTTCCCGTGTGCTCAGTTTCTAACATTCCTCATTAATTCAAGCAGCGGCACCTGAAAACTTGATCGTCAATTTTTCCCCTAGCTTTCCTCCAGCCGGACATTTGACCGTTGCCTTAAAAAGGCATGCTGCTTTTCACAACGCACTTCCTTTGGAAAGTGTGCCGAGCTGTACAGCACAGAGCCGAGTGATGGGTACCGGTGGGCGCTCAGGAGAAATATGTCGATGCTGTCAGTATTCGCTGAGTGGCCCTAACATGACGAGCAGCAGCAGCAGTTGGTGCCCTTCGGCTCCCTGTGTGAGATGAGTCTCAGAAGGGCGCTGGGACGTGGGTGCCCCCCAGAGAACACAGTCATCCTCCCGGCTCCCGGGAGAGGAGGAAATGCTTCTGCTTTGGCTGTGGGAATCTTATTAAGCCTTTCTGCAGAGAAAAGGAAGTGGCAAACAAATACACCCTTGACAATCATTTCCATACAATGCACTCTGATAGTGCCGGCTTAGTTGTTTTCAGCTGAAATCATTAGCTTCCACTTTTAGCATAACAACTCCTGGCTAAATTAGTCTACGGTAAGCTATTAGAAGGGATGTCGGAATTAAAAACGTTTTTGGAAAAAAGCCTGGTTTGAACCTTTGTTATCAGCCCTTGGGCAGGACTCTCCGGGCCCTATTTCTGGTCATTTGACAGCTGTCACTCTGATGTCCCAGGCCCCCTCTCAGCAGCCTGCCCCAGAAATGAAAACACACGGGCTGTCTTTTCTCCTTCCCACTCTCCCCCACGGGTCGAAGTTTTACTTTCCCAACATGTTAAGAAATAATAGATTTTGCCCTGAGAATTTGAGGTATTCTATATTTTTACCTTTTCCTTATTTAAAAAAAAATTGTAGATGTGGGATGGGATTAACTGCACAGGCTTACAAGCAGGGGGTTGCTGGCCGATTGTTAAAATTTCCAGTGGTTAAACATAGCAAGCATTAACAATGTTACATCTTACAGTTACATTATGTTAAAAAAAGTAATAAATACTCAAAAATCATAATTTCCCAATTGCTTTACTATATTTTGTCATCTTTGTTCTAGAGGTGACTTGTGTTTATCATACCTATGTAGTGAAAATGCCATATAGTGATGAGCTACTGTCCCCCTCTTTCCAGCTTAGTTCAGTGACATCATCCTGGTGGCTTGAAACAGGCTACAGAAGGGCTATTTACACTGGAAATCAGCAAATACTCTGTCTTAGGGTTTGCTTGTTTTGTTGATTACCTAGACTTTTGGTGACTACCTAGAAAGTGCTGGAAACAATGTTTATGCATATTAAACGTTGTCATGTCTGTAGCCATGACATTGTGAATAGCACAAAAAGCTCAAGGGAATATTCTCCCATTATGTGAAAACTATTATATTATTTATCCAAGCGAACTTTCGACATACAGAGAAGTCGTTTCACATGTGTATTATTCATATAAACAAAAACATCAATATTCAGGTCAGAACTATCTAGGCTGGCTACAGTTATAAGAGTCTGGTAAAAATCAACAAAAGCATTCTTTGAAAATCAGTCGACTACACAGAATTTACAGCCAAGAGTGCTGGTATTTTATTATTGTCAATGGTGTGTCCTGTATCTTTTATACTGGGAAAACTTATAATAAACATATACACATATATACATAGATTGTCTTTTCAGAGAGCTGGTTGGTGACCATTTACCAAAACACTATTACCTAAAAAGGAACTTTTCTGGGATGATGGGAATGGTACATGTACTTTTCTGGGATGATGGAAATAGTACATGTGGATTGCATACTGCACTGTTCCCCAGGTTCGTTCTAGAGAGAGAGGCAGCTCTCTCTGTAGATCATGGTCTATTGAGAATGGAAGCTGTCCCATGGTGACTAGTTATTTTAATCTTTCTAGTAAGATTCCAGTTGTCTCCCAAGAAATCCCATGGGCCTGTTGTACTAACAGGGTCCCTGAGATGTGAGTCTCCCTCTCCTGCTCATCTGCAGCTGGAGGGCTGGATGGAGGTGCATCTCCGCACCTTCCTCAGCCCCAGCTACTTGTCTGAGAATCGCAGGCTGCACCCGGCACTTGTTCAGGTAACAAACCACTCCTTCCTAAGGCCGGCAGCGACTCTCTGCATGCCCCTCCTGTTTCACAGGGGCCTCTCTGCACGCCCATTCCTCCAGGAGGTCAAACTTTCTGGGGACCATGGTAGTCAGAGAGAAGGCGGCGGAGTGCTGAGTCCAGAGCTGGCCCCGGGATGCCGCCCTGTGTCCTCGCCCATCCCAGAGTGACCCTCTCCCTACAGTGTCAGCTTCACACCCTAGTGCCTCTGGTTTCACAGTTCCTGTTTTTTCCTGAAGCAAAGCCAGCTTTTCTCAGGACTGGGCTCTGCAGATGACAAGCAGTTTCTTTCATTTGTGTCTTGTGTCGAGTCCGTGACACCAAGGGAAAAAAACAGTGTCAAATGGTGAATTCCACCCTCTCCTACGCCTCACAACTTGACCAAGACAGCGACAGCCACTACGTGTGGCCCTTTCACCCTCCTGCGCATCTGCGATGCTTTCTTTTGCCTCCAGCCCCGTTAT